TTCCTATTTGTCTTGCCTGGGCTATTACGGTTCATAAGAGTCAGAGACTTACTCTTTCAAATGCTGTAATAGATCTTGAAAATAAAGTGTTTGCAGCTGGTATTCTTTTGTGGCAGTGTTTCGAGTTCGTGCTCTCTCTGATCTTCTTTTTAAACCTTTTAGCTTTGAAAGTTTAAAGATTTTGAACTCATTAGAATTGTCTTATCAAAATGAATATTTTGGCAAATATTTTATCTAATACAAATTAGTGATTTAAAGTTATTCACTGTCAAATATTTTAAAATTTTTAATACTATAGTAATTTTAAATATACACAAGAGAGTGTGATAATTAGAGTATGATTAAGTTGTTACCCTCCAAGTGGCAGGTTTAAAATTCGAAACTTATCAGTGCCATTTTAGAAAATAGCTCTGTATACTAGTAATATTTATTTAATGATCAGTTGGATATATTGCCTATAATTTTAGTATTATTATCTCAAAATAGAAGCTCTTGAGCAATTAAAATCCAAGGAATTGGAATAATTAAAACTCATTTATTAAGACCTGAGCAAAAAGGTTATGAAGATCTTTGATGATACTGCAAAAACTAGAACCAGAGACCAAAGAACTAAACAAAAACTCTGGAGCAAAAAGGGTTCACCAATCTGACTACTAGAGTCATACTAGAGAAAAAGATTTTATATTATGAAATTAGAAACCAAGAAAAGTAAAACTGGAAGGCACTTAATGTCTAAGTACAATAACCTATCCAGGCTAACTGGTTTGGCAATTTGGAAAAAATCAGTATAAAGACTGGTTTAATGCAGATATTGGGATCAGAATGAATCTTGTAAGAGCATGAATACTAGAATTGTGTGATTAATAGTTAGTTCTGATTGCTAGTAGTAGTTTTAGCTAATGTAGAAGGTATTCAAGGCTAATTTGAACATGTATAGTACATAAAAAGATTAAAGAAGTATGTACTACATAGGGTTTAGAGCATGGGAAAAAAATTGAATATACTTATATAGACATGCCCTTGAGCTAAAACATGCCTTTTATATCTATGTGCATGCCTTTTTTAAATCATGTAATTAATATATAGTTCACAACTTCTAAAAAACCTTATATACTGATTTAGTATCTATAGTTTTAGTTTATCTAAACTTATTAGCCAATTAAAATAACTTTAAATATTACATGACAAAGGCATACCTATGGGCATACCATAGGAGCATGTTCTTAGAGGCATGTCCATGCCTCTGTGTCCTAAACCTTAGTACTACAGCTCTTCTAAAGTAACCTAATAATATGAGATCTCTATTAGGTTATCATTATCTATAGAATTAGAGTGAAAGTAGTATAATACATATCAATCTGAGTGGCCTTCAATTGAGTTGCACAATATTATAGATTAGCATAATTGTAGTGATGATGCAGAATAGGGAACATCAGAGAGTTTAAATTGTAATCTTCTAGTTAGATTACAAATATGGCATATAGTATAAAACCTTTGGGTAGACTACTTAAATAGGCAACCAAAAGTTGCATGTATGGCTAAATATACTCTCATTAATCAAGAATATGCTACTAAATATCTAATAAAAATTCACTTGTTTATGATATTGTGAAGGTTAAAAAAATATATATATACACAAAAATGATTTTTATTGATTAAAATTACATATATACATTTATAGATCTATATATATTTTATTTGGGATTTTAAAATTTTATATATATGCAGAATATAGAAATACTTAAGTTTTTAGCTTGGGACCAGGTTATAAAATGCATTTAGAGATTGTTTGCATTTAGGGAGTATGCACTTAAAGATGCAACTGTATTTTGAATTTTACTTTTTAAAATTCAAACCATTTAATTTTTTAGAATGTGCATATAAATATCAATAGTTTTGATTATTTATTTTTAAATTCTATTGACAAAAAATTATTTGCTCACTTGGTCTAGTCTGTATGTATAAAAAACTTTCATTACTCAAAGTATTTTTTTTTTTAATTTTTATAACTAGCCTCTTTGGAACTATGGTTTTTATTCAAGTTTATAGATAAGAGGCTCTCTTATAGAACCCCAGTACATTTACATATAAACCCAGCTTGTATTAACAGTACATCCCTGCTACAATTAGCTGTCGTAAGACATTCTGGATGTTTTCCCAATACCATTAGGACTAATTTATCCTCGAGGCATCATTAGCTAGAGCTTTTCATACTCACAATCTAGCTAACCTAGACTTCAGTAACTTACACCAAGTCTGAGGACAAGTACTTGCAAGCTGAAGCCACTACTATTACCTACTTTTGCTCTTGCAGAGTTCTTCCAAACCCCAGCACACACTTTACAGACTATTACCAGTATCTAAGTTCTGTCAGTAACCTAAACTCCCAATTCAGATAGCCCAGAGGGGCTGTGATCTGCTCCTGGTCTCCACAGTTGGGTCCTTTTTCTCCGGTTACTCATCCTCTGGCCTGGTTATTATAGTGTCTTGCCAAATACCAATCCTCGTTTAGACTACTAAAATCAGTGTCTGGATCCCTTAGATAGCCTTTTACATAGTACCGTCAAAGATCTGTGCTACCTCTCGCTTGGGACTTGCCAAGCGGGCTTCTGTATACCTCAATGCCTGAATTTTTATAGCCATTTCACTTGGGTTTCATGTAACTTATATGTCATACTACAGTTTCCCAGCTTCACAATAACCTCTGGTATAATCAAGCTTACAGATCTGATGATCAATCAATTGATACACAGTCTGCCATAACACATTCTGTAAAATTTGAATTTCATTGCCAGTGGGATTCGAACTCTTGTCCTGCCACTTGGGGGGTGTGACAACTTGACTACTTCACTAAGTCACTACATCTATTACTCAAAGTATTTAAAATAAACTATTCAAGTATTTTGATAATAAAAATGTATAAGTGAATTTTTGTAGAGTTTTATTTTCAAATAAAGATCTCTAATTTTCAGCTTTAACTGCAACAATAAATAAATAAAAAAATAAAAATAAAAATGCTTAACTGAAAGCAAAAAATTACATACTTACACCACGATCATTCACATCTTTTATGATCATTTAATCAACCCATTAAAAACTCCTACAACAAAATGAATTTCTAGTGAATAGATATGAAATTTTGCATCAGGCCACAAATATTTGTAGTCAAAAATAATGTTTTTATTATTGTTTGTTATGGCATTTGTAATTGCAATTATAAACATTCCTGGTATAGCTGATGAATATGGTTAATATGCATACTATGCTGATCACATTCTCATAATAAGACAGGGCTGTGTAGTGGTAAATAAGTGGGTGCCAACAGTTCTTTCTTCTTACTGGTGGTGCCTGTTAGTCTATTAATAATGGGTTGATCTTTTGCTCTGCAATGCACTTACATAATATTATATATATATCTTTGCATAAAGGTCATGTTTGAATGATATGATCATATGCTAAAATTAAAAAAATTTATGTAGCTTTATGTATTAAACCAGAATTTAATATTTTGACTAATACAAAAAAAGACAAACATACAATTTTAGCAGAAATAACTATGAATCCTGTTAGTAATCACCATTAACAAGTTCTTTTTTTGATAGATTAGAATTTACTTTTATATATTAACCATGAAAACTTTCCATTTGGTCTAATATTTTATTATATATACATATATGATTTATTTTCAAAGTATTGCTATACTATTACAATCAATCATTGATCAATATTTTGATTAATTGGTTTGTTATAGTTCATGATATATAGTATATAATATATGTGCTTAATTAGTATTACATGTATATATATATACATAAAGGTCACATTTATATAATATGATCACATGCTGAAAAATAAACAAAAATACAAGTTTAGCAGTAATAATAACTATAAATCCTATTAGTGATGATCATGTACAGGTTTCTTTTTGGATAGATTAAAATTTACCTTCACATATTAACCATAAAGACTTTTTACAACCATTGTGTTCTGATATTTTACTATACATAATATACTATTTATTTTTAAGTAATTCTATACTAATACCTGTTATTTCAATGTTTAAAAAAATATTAGCAAAGCATTGATATTAAAATTGAAGTTCAAGTTTTGAGCCAGTTTAATACTTAAAGTGTTACCTTTTTATTGTATTTATTATTTATTATTTATTATCTAATATATTCTTTGATTCTTTGGTATGTTATAATTAGAATTTTTAGAACCTTTTTCTCAAAACAATACAATTCTTATAAAATTAGTTAAATATAAATGTAAATTACTTAAGGATACTATTGCATCAACAGAAAAGATTAATATAAAATTCTGTTCAATTCTTCAAATTTGAATATTATATACTTTCATTCTTGATTTCTTTGCAATGACATACTGTAATAAGCAGTTAATTTATTTTACTGATTATTGTAAATTTATGAAATATTGAAAGATTAGGCCATACAAACTTAATAAATAGGTTCTCATAACATAAAATTTTTAAAAGTGACCCAGCTACCTGGCTTTTAATTTTATTTTCAAAAAATTTTATATATAAAAAACATATAAAAATTTTTTATTAATTGTTTAGAATAATCCACCCGGATAGTAAATAGACTTAAATTTTTTTTTTAAAGTTTTGTAAAATTTGATCCAGCCAGATTATGAGAACTGATTTATTAAGTTTGTATGGTCTTACATTATTATTTCAATATAGAAGATCGATCTTAAGCTTTATTATTGATATGGATAAGTTTGCTGACAATAAATAAAATATCATAATATATGTGGCATCATTTAGAAACCAACTATAATATTGTAAAAAGTCAGACTGTCAAGCTAATGCCATTTCAAAAATTTGCAGATTTTATTTTGTTTTAACAAAAATTTTTTTTTAATGCATAAAAATAATTTGATAAATAAATACATCTTAAACCATATCATCAAAAATCTGTTTTCAAAATTTTTCAAAAATTGATTCAGATCAATACTAACCTTTAATTAAACATATTATGCCTTGTTATGCAGACACAATCAAAAAAATCAAGTATATTAAAAAAAGTAAAAAAGAAGATGTGAAAGTAATTTCAGTATGGGCTATTAGAACATATGCCAGTCAATCCAAAGAATTATAACTCTGAATCACAAGCAATTTTTAAGAAAGATAAACACTACTCTGTTAGAGGAAAAATTGTACCTAGATCTTACGCTAGAAAAATTAGGCCAAAAAGTATTTAAATGTTCTGCTAAATCATTGTAAAATAATCTTTTAGAACTTATTTAAAATATTTAGTTCAAAGAAAGCTAATAATTAATTTATAAAGTTTTTTTTTTGTAATAATATTTTTTTTTAAAAAAACTTTTGACTAAATTAATTATTTATTTTCTTTGAAATGAGTATTTCTAAATAATTTTCAGAACATTATTTTACAACATTACATATAAAAATTTACAATATTCGATTTAATATATATAGGACAGCTTCTACTTCAACTCACCTAACAATCGCTGATAAAGTTTTAGATTCAAATAAGTGCTCTCTAAAAATTTCTCTAATGGGAGTTTCCCAAGGAATGCCAGTTAAAATTAAAGACACTGACAATTCTGTTTTAGAAATGCTTATATCTGATTATGTCAGCCAATCATATAATTATATCATCAAAGTAGTCTTTCCTCATGAAAATCTATGCTTTAAGCACTTAGCAACAACAATTCACCCCAAGAATCAATTATTTTCATAATTGGGCAAATGGAAATAATTGATAATGAACTTTATATTTATGCTAATGATATTAACTATGTTGACACTCATTTTATTACTAAAAAAAAAGAACTTACCAATACTGAATTATCACAAACAAATCTAACATGATCCAAACATTTGTATATTCATCAAAATATCATCAAAAATTTGAAAGATAATTCTAAAGAAAACACACATTCATTAAAACACAAAAGATTAAAAGAAAACATCAAAACTGAAAATATAATACTTACTAATGCTAATAATAGTGAAGATGATCAAACAAAGCCTGAGAATTCTATTCAAACAGATCAAGAACCTGAAACTGATATGACAGAAAAAAGGTCTGGTGAAGATAACAAACGCCCAATATGAAATACATGGTGTTCTAAAAAAATAAATAATTAAATTGTGAATTCTAATAAATAATTATTATTAATATAATATCTAATATATAATGTATAATGTATATACATATATAAATATATACATATATATATATATACAATATTCATAATATAACTTTATTTTATATTCAACTACATGTATATATTTTTTATTAAAATTCTCATATATATTTACTTGATATAAAATGAATACTCTATTACTGTTTTACAAAGTCAAAAAATAAGTATAACTTTCTCATATGCAAGCATATATATAATATAATAAATTAAGCAGTAAAATTCAGTATTTTCCTTAACTAATCATGCAATAACAGCAACTTACATACAATGCTGCACAATACTATTTTAACTATAAACATGAAATATGTATACATACATACACGTATTAATGTTAATAACAATTGAGCAATTAAGGAAATCAGACTAAATTATTAACTTTTCAGTAGTAAATAACGCATTATCGTTATATTAATAGTCTGATTTTCTATATGTGTATGCATCAAATTCTACTAATTCACTCTTATTATATTTAACTGGATATGTTAAAATAGATGCATAGCATAAAACCTGAACTTTGACCAGTAAATATAATTTTGTTCTGTGTATAATACAAAATTAACTTCTAAAAATTTTTATAATATTCCTGATTCACCAAACATAAATATGAATTAAACAAAAAAAAGCAAAGTATATGCTGTCATTGATCACAATAACATATTCAAAATAATTGAATGAAACAAAAAAAAAAAGCAAAGCATAGTAAGCACTAAGCTATAATAAAATATAACAACCTATGACTATATTAGATTTCTGTACTATCTTTATAATTATACTTATCATTTAAATCCTATTATTGCTCACTATCTGCATTTCATAATCTAGTAATTGTATGTTTGACTATTTTGTTATTTTACTCAATATAGCAATCCAATTATGCTTAGCCTTTTTTTATCGTAGTATTATTGGTATTACAAAATTTGTTTAAGCCAAGTATGATATTAGAACAACAATGCATGCAATATTTATAACATATAAAACATTACAAAAGATAAATATAATAAATTAGAAATGGCGCAATAAAGAAAAACACAAATAAAACATATTAATAAAAAATTATATATATGTTAAAATACTTGCATCTTAAAACATATAAAACCCAACATTTTTACTCTATCTCTTCGAATCTAATATTTATAAACCAAACATAAATAACTATTTATCTATAAAAACAAAAAATGTCTTACAAAATTGTTAATACTTTTGATAATACTACTATTTTTTTTTTTTTAATATTAATGGTGAGGCCATGCCTAATACTACTATTTTTTATAATTATATAATAATAGTAATAAATATGAATACTGAACAAAGAACTATACAAGCACAGAGAGAATATAAAAACATAAACAGAATACATAACCTCGGTTGTATGAATATAGAATGTATTCACTGTAGTGCTCTTCATTGGCTAGATGAACAATTAACACATTCTTCAATTCAAAACCTAGATTTGGATCATGTTGTTTTCAAGGAAAGTTATTCTTTCTCTTCTTAATGACCCACCACCTATTTTAAAACAATTATTTGAAGATGATAATGATGAAGCCAGAGAATTTCGTATGAATATTCATTAGTATAATCCTGCTCATATATTTACATTACTAAGCATCAAAATTGATTAATCTGTTTTACAAAGACACAGTCCATATTGTTTTTGTGTTAGTGGAGAATTATGCCATTTGTCCAGTTCACTTCTTCCTACTAAAAATGATAACATAGAATATGCACAACTTTATATATATGACCTGATGATGGCACATCTATTACAAATAAATCAAAACATTAATCTATTAGCACAAACAATGTGAAAAATATAAAACATTTTATACACTCACAATCCATATTGTTCGCTATATCAACAAGCCTACAAAATTCTCTCCCAATTTTACATAAACAATCCTGCTAATACAAATTTAACCATTTACATACATTATGTTAGTACAACAAATATACATCGCTATAATCTTCTAACAATAGACGAACTAGCTTTTCTCTTACCAGACGACAGATCTATGCCAGAAGCTATATGTGATATAGTTGTTCTATTACACAATAATTCACTTGAACATATTTATGAAGACATCCTGCTTATTTACCATTATATTATGTACTTCTTTTTCCATGTAGTGAACTTGGATGGTATAAAGAATTGCATCAAATAAGCACAAACAATCAAGTTAATAATCCAAACAAAATTCCCGTATTACACAAAAACAATTTTTTTTCCTTACATCTCTTTCTATGCAATACTGAATTTTTAACAATTCTTTGAGGTGGCAAATTATTTCAAGAATTCATAGTTGATGTATAGGCAGCAACAAAACAAAATTAGTTAAGGTATTTATATAATAACCAAGGCATATTACATGCTAATCTATACTAGGGACTTGAAGACGTTGCAGGAAATATTGCAAATAGAGAACTAATACTTAATAATCTTGGATATTAAATAATTCTTCCTTCTACACATATTGGCAGTTGACGTTATATGTTTGAAATTTTTCAAAATTTGATGCCAATTACTTAGCATTATCAACACACTGATATCTTTAAAACTATGATAGCAAACCCTAGATAGTCTAAAATTACTAATAAACTATTACCCAATCAAACATCAGCTGATCGCCCAGATTTAATAGCACGTATATTCAAATAGAAATGACTGTCTCTTCTCAAGAATATTAGAAAAAATAACCTTTTTGGCAAAACCGTTGCTTATGTCTACAAAATCAAGTTCCAGAAATGTGGTCTTCTTCATATTCACTTTTTAATATTTCTCTATAAAGATTATAAAATAAAAGAAGCTGCTGATGTTGACTATATCATATGTGCTGAATTTTCTGACAAAGAAACAGACCCAATATTATTTAATACTATATTACATTGTATGGTCCATAGTCCCTGTGGTTCTTGCAACCCTCATGCACTATGTATGGAAAATAGCAAATGTAAAAGAAATTATCTAAAACAATTCTACAATACTATATCAATAAATACAGATAGTTATCCTTTATATAGAAGAAGAAATAATAGAAAAATATTTAATATTAATGACAAACCTGTTGACAATCAAGATGTAGTATTATATAATCCAACCCTTAGCTGCAGATATAACTGTCATATAATATCGAAATTTGTGTATCCATACTTGCTATAAAATATATTTATAAATATATTTACAAAGGTTATAATTGAACTACTATCCAATTTGGATGAGTTCATGATAAAATCAAACAATATATTAATGCAAGATACATAAGTGCACCAGAAGCTATTTGGTGTCTTCTAGGATTTAATATGCATAAAGAAGTACCTAATGTTATACAACTAGCATTAAATCTTCTAGGAATGCTTAGAGTAGTTTTTGATCTAAATGACGATGCTGCTCAGATTCTTGAACATGCTAATCGACAAAAAACTACTTTAACCACCTTCTTTGAAATATGCAAAACCCTTAAAATTACTAATCAATATACATATCAAAAATTTCTACAATACTTTACTTAGGATAAATCTAAAAAAGAATGAAAACTATTAAAACATGGCTTTGCAATTAGTAAACTATACTTTGCTAATCTATCTGCAAGAGAACGCTTTTATTTAAGACTTCTACTAACTATAGTTCATGGTTCACAATCATTTAACCATCTAAAAACAGTTAATAACATCACTTACCCAACATTTAAAGATGCATATATTGCTTTGAGTTTGTTAGAAGATGATAACAAATAGAAGCAATGCTTAAGAGAAGCCGCAATCATATGTAGTGGCACCCAACTAAAATCACTTTTTGCTATTATACTTATATATTCTACTCCAACCCAACCACATAATTTGTAGTTACAATTTCATGATAACCTCTATGATGATCTTTGATATTGTTTAACTAATGAATATAACATTCAAAATCTAACTGAATCTCAAATATTCAATTTCGGGCTTTTTCTTCTTGATGAAATCTT